CCGCCCCCCGCCGCCGCTGAGCCTGGCCCGCCGCCGCGGCCTCCCCCGGCGGCGCCGCCCGCCCCGGGCTGCCGCAGCGCCGCGATGGAGACGGCGGAGAAGGAGTGCGGAGCCCTTGGCGGCCTCTTCCAAGCCATCATCAACGACATGAAGGTAGGGGATCCCCCCCCCCGCGCCCCGGTTTTGCTGTCGTGACAGCGCTCCCCCCGCACCATCCCCCCAGCACCCGCTGCCCCAGGCAGCCCCCGCGCTGCCGCCGGTGCCCGTCCCGCGGTGGGTACCGGGGCTCTGCTGCCCAGCCGCGAGATGGGGATTGGAACCCCGCATCGGGTGTCGGAGCCCGAACATCAGCCCCACAGCGAGTGTCGGGGTCCCACATCGGCTGTCAGAGCCCGGCACGGATTCCCAGAGCCCCACATCAGCCCCTTACTGGGCATCGGAGCTCTGTGTTGGGCATCGGAGCCCTGGAGATCGCAGCCCTCCATCATCTCTGTATCTAGCGTTGGATATTGGAGCTCCATCCTGGGGATTGCAGCCCCACATCATCCCCAGATCCATCACTGGCTATCGGAGCCCCGTTCTGGGTGTTGCAGCCCTGTTATCCTTCACTGGGTATCAGAGCACCATGTCGAGCGTCAAGGTCTCACACTGGGTGTCAGAGGGTGGCACTGGGTGCCGGAGCCCCACATCAACCCCATAATATGCATGGGAGCCCTGCACTGGGCATTGGAGCCCATACTGGAGATCCTAGCTCCATATCAGCCCTGTATCCATCCCCAGGTGCCCGAGCCCCTTGTTGGGTGACACGGACCAGGCATCACTGCCCCTCGCCAGGTACCACTGGCCCCACACCGGGCATTGCCACCCACTTCAGGCATCATGTTGTCCCTGCCCCCCCTGCCCCATGCCCAGCCTGGATTTCTGTCAGACCCATTGGGGCTGACACCAGTGGAACAAAAAGGTCCCCTAGCTCCTTGATCCCATTTCCTAACCCGGGAAGAGGATATTGCCTCCACCCTCCCTGGGAGCAGGATCGGGCCATGTTTAAAAAAACCTTTTTGTTTGTTTGTTTTCATTTCAAAAAAATAAACTAAAAATGCTGGGGGGCATTTCTGATCAGAGGCTGAGTAGGGAGGAGGGGACCAGCCATATTTCTTCATCTCGGGGAACCAAAATTCCCACAGCCAGCTCCAGTGCTGGGGTTTAGCCCTAGTCATTTTTGGGAGGCAAACGCTCTCTTCCTCCTCCTCCTCCTCCTCCTCTTCCTCTCTTCATGCTGCAGACCCGTCCAGACAATGCTGTCATTGCCAAAGCAGGGGAGAGGGGATAAAAAAAAAATAAAAGCCTTGCTGGGAAGGAGATTAACCCCTTCGAGGGGCAGTGGTGGCTCTGCAGCCGGACTCCGGCTCAGGGCTGGCAGAAAAGCTCCAGGGAAAAAATCCCAACTCTCCCCAGGGCAGAGGGATCCAGGGTTGGTGCAAAACTAAGCTGGGATGATCAGCTCCCTCTCCCAAACGCCTTCACCCCAGGCAGCCCAGCTGAGTCCCGCACTCCCAGGGGGGAGGTGGGGGCAGCCCCTGCCTCAGTTTCCCCATTCCCCTGCTGAGGCTTCAGAGGAGATAAGCCAGCCCAGAGCTGTCACCTCCCAGGGACATGCCCAGCACCATCCGGATGCGGTTGGACTGGGAACCCCTCACCCGAGGAGACTGGGATGGAGTCAGTTTCATGTCATTCGAAGGTAGAAAAGATTAAAGAAAAATGACGAAAAAGGAGGAAAACCCCACCACACTGCAGATGGGCCTCAGCTTGTGCCCTGCACAGTGTGCCAGTGGCACCTAAGGGTGTGCTGTCCCCATCTCCCAGCCATGTGGGTGTCCTGGCATGGGCACTGGGGGACAAGTAACTCTCTGCCTGAAGAACTGCTGGCATTGAAGGGCAGTGATGTGCTTATGGTCCTATGTCTGGGTCCCCTGTGCTGGTCACAGAGCAAAGGGACCTTATTTTGGTGGTGGATGGCTATTCCAGCACCCCTTGGCCTGTGGTGGGGAGAATTTGTTTGTTGGTGACAGTCCCTAAGCTGGCTTCATTCCTGTTGCCTCTCCTTGTGTGCTCAGTGTCCCTGAGTGACCTTGGCATGTCCTTGTGCCCATTGTCCTCTTCCCCATCCTCCTCATGCCTGGCATCACAGGGGTTTGGGGGCATCACACCCTGCTCCCTTCTACAGGGGAGCCTCACTTGCCCTGCCCAGGGTGGCCAAGGAAGGTGGCCCAGAGCCAGTGGCCCAGGAATGGTGGCCCAGTCCTCTGGCAATGACAGTCCCTGGGGACCCACAATGAGGGAATCACTGCCACAAGTGTTAAGTGGCACCCTCAAACACTTTCTTTGCTGACTCATGAGGAAATAGGGGCTTTCAGGGTCCCAGAAAATGCTGGGCTGGTCTCATGCCCCCTCAGTGCAAACTTGTCCCCAAAGCTGCCACCAAGCCATAGTGCCCAGGGGGATGTGTGGCAATGTACACGTCCCAGCCTGGTGGCTGCCCTAGAGGAGTTTACAGATGCTTGTCACTGCCATCGGATGGTGACACCAGGATAGCACCTGGATTTTGTCACTGGGACAACAGGACCAGGATTGACCTTGCTAGGATAGCAGCACCAGCATGGCTTCACCAGGATGATGACACCAGGACTGGTCCTACTGGAATGGCTTTGCTGGGATAGTAACACTGGGACCAGCTTCACTGGAACAGCATTGGAATGGCCTTGCCAGGATGGTGGCACCTGGATAGCTTCACTGGAATGATGGCACCGGTACTGGCCATGCAAGGTGACACTGGGATGGCCTTGTCAAGACAGCACCAGGATTAATCTCACCAGGACAACATGGACTGGCCTTGCTGGGATGGTGACACTGGGATAGCCTGGCTGTATGGTGGATCAGGATCAGCCTTGTTGTGATGGCACCAGGATGGCCTTGCTGGGATGGCACTGCAGCTGGCATTACTGGGAGAGTCCTCACTGGAATGGCACCAGCATGGTCTACTGGGACTGGCTTCACTGGGAAACAGTGGCACTGAGATGGCCTTGCTGGGATGGTGGCAGCAGCACAGCCCTGGGATGGCCTCACTGGGATGGTGGCACTGGGACTGCCCTGAGATGACTTCACTGGAATGGTTGCACCAGGACAGCCCTGGAATAGCCTTGCCACAAGGGCAGTGGGAATGGCCTTGCACAGATGGCCTTGCCAGCAGTGGCCTCATTGGCACAGCACTGGGGTGGCCTCCCAAGCACCTGTGCCCTGTCCCTGTCCCCATACAACTGCCCCATTCAGGGTTTCAGGGACCCCAACCTGCCCTGTCGGTCCTTGGGCTCAGGGGAGGGGAGGACTGGGGCTCCTGGCTGTGCGATTGGAGCTCTCTGTGAGGTGGGTTTGGCCACCAGTGCTTTGGAGGGAAGCTACAGCTGGGGGTGTCTCCTCTGCTGCTGGCCAGAGTCTTAAAGATTCTTCATTTCATGCCCTCAATGAGGAAGAAATCACTCAAATCCTGAGGTCTCCATGATCTATAAGTTTGGGTGGCCAGACTGGAAAGAGAAAAAATCAGGAGGGAAAAGAGTTGTGTTCAGCCTTTATTAGCCATCAGAGAAGCTACTGAGCTGCCCTGTCTCTCTGCACCAGTGAAGGAGGGACCTGCCCTGTCTGGGGAAGCAGTGCAGGGGTGAGGGTCCCTGTCTCTCACCATCGCCCTTCCTCCTTGCAGAGCTCCTACCCCATATGGGAGGATTTCAACTCGAAGGCCACCAAGCTGCACTCCCAGCTCAGGTGAGTGGCCAAAGGTGGGGTGGGACATGGGGGACCCCCCTCCTCGTTGGCACATCCCAGGTGTCCCACACCCACTGAGCTCCCCCCTCGCTCTCTCTGCCTCAGGACCACGGTGCTGGCCGCAGTTGCCTTCCTGGATGCCTTCCAGAAAGTGGCCGACATGGCCACCAACACCCGAGGTAGGGTCCTCTCTCCTGGGGGTGGGCCCAGGCTTGTCTGGGCAGGGGGACGGTGGTGAGTGTCCCCTGTGGGGTGTCCCCTGCCCACATTTCTGGGGTAGACTTCAAGCAGCAGCTTCACCATCCACAGAGAGATGTCCTTGATGCTCCCACACCAAGGTGGAGCATTCCCTGGGAAGCAGCGTTGAAAGGATGGCGTGGGGAGGGGGAAGGTGGTGGGCACCCATGTGGGTGCTGCTCCTCACCACCCATGGGTGCTTAGCCACATTTTCTGGTGGGGCTGGGACATTCAGGGTGGCTCAGCCCCACGTCAGGGTCTCCTGCATCCATCTCAGCCCCCTGGGATGCAGAGTCCACCTTCCTTGTCCCTGGCACCCATCTGGGAAGTTCCCAGGGGGGTCCCGGCTGCTCCAGAGGTCTCCAGGGAAGGGGATTTAGTTAGAGGGAGATTCAGGAGTCCGAGCTTCACTGTTTTGGGGACAAACCCTAACTCACCAGGGAGGTGACTCAAGAGCCAAGGCTGCATGTGGGGTCCCCCATACTGTTGGGGAGTGAGGGGGAAGGATCCCCGGACCCTCTGCGGGTGCCTGCTGGCAACGAGGAGCCACTTCCCACCGCTTGGCTTCTGCCAAGCAGATGGTCCCGGGCTGGTTCGCAGACTGGCGGCATCCAGGCCATCTGGAGCCACGCAAGGAGGAGGAGGAGGAGGAGGTGGAGGCAGCAGCTTGAGCCAGGATCAGCTTTGCCTCCAAACCCACTAGCCCACTGCACCAGGGGGATTAGGGCTTCTCCAGCTCCCTGTCAGCCCGGGCAGTCAAAGCAAGGAGGAGGCACAGGAGCAATGCCAGGGACAGCTGGGGACCAGCACCACAGGAGTCAGTGTCACCCTGTAGTGCTGCTATACCTGCACGGCTTTTTGGGAGGGTGGGCAGCAGAGCAGCAGCATGGGGAAACTGAGGCACTGGGTGGGGGCTGGCTGCTGGCCTTGCACACAGTGCATGAGAATCGGATTAGAAGCAGCAGGAGCTGGGATAAGAGCATTAGGAGCTGGATTAGGAGACTACCCCAGTGTAGGAGAAGGCCGTGGCCCATGGGTTCCCCTATTTCCATAGCACCGGGAGACTGAGGGACATCCAAAACTTCTGTAAAGGGGTGGGAGGTTTTTTTGGAGGCTTTTTTAGTGGAGAGAAAGGCTGAATGTCACTCCTTAGTTTGCATCCAAGATTTTTGATTTCCGTTTTCCGTGGGAATTGCCAGCAGCACTGCCACCACGTGGCCATCCTTGGGCTTCAGCGTTTCACCTGAAAAGGATGTTCCTGCTATCTGCTGCTGGCAAATATCCCCCCGAGGAGTTTGGACTCCCTTTTTATCCACTCGGGATTGTGTCTGGAGGTGTGGGACAGAGCTGACTGCCTGGAACTAAGCCAGAGTACCTCATTGCTTCCCTGCCACCCCCCCAGCACCAAATTTAAGACAAACCAGGAAAAAATGGGAGCGGGTTCTAATTTCAAAGCCTCCAGAAGAGATATTTAGTGTTTCACGTATTAGTTAGTGGATTATTATTTATTCATTTATTTATTTTGTGGATTTATCATGGGGAAAAAGCAAGCCACCTCCTTCCTAAAGTGTCCCCAGTGCCCAGTGCATCCCAGCACTGATTGACCCTGTCACGAGCCACCCTCCTCCCACTGTACAAACTGGGCTGGGACTGGTGTGGGGGTGTTGGGGGTGTCCCTGCCCCTTGTCAGCAGCACTTTGTCCCCACCAGGTGCCACGAGGGACATCGGCTCGGCGCTGACCCGGATGTGCATGCGGCACCGCAGCATCGAGGCCAAGCTCCGGCAGTTCACCAAGTAAGTGGGACCAGGATCAGCTTTGCCTCCAAACCCACGGGTGTCGGTGACACGGCCTGGCCAGGCTGGTTCCCTCGCTGAAGAAGGGGATGCTGGCTGCTGGCTGGGCATGGCACAGGGGAATGGCTCCCCCCTGGCTCCGGCGCTCTCCCACACTCTCTGCTTCTCTCTCCCTGCTCCAGTGCCCTCATGGAGAGCCTGATAAACCCTTTGCAGGACAGGATTGAGGACTGGAAGAAAACTGCCAATCAGCTGGACAAGGACCACGCGAAAGGTACGAGGGGGGCAGGACGGATCCGTGCAGGGTGGCTGCGCTGCTGGGCAGGGGTCCCCTCTGACAGCACTTCTGCACCCCCAGAGTACAAGCGAGCACGCCATGAGATCAAGAAGAAGTCCTCTGACACCCTCAAGCTCCAGAAAAAGGCTCGCAAAGGTGAGAGGGGGTCTCTTGGGGGGTGCTCCCACCAGCCCCTCTGCAGCACCCCCAGCCAGGGCCGGTACCCCGGCTGTGGCACTGCCAACAGGGGGGTGGGCACTAGGGGGGTCCTGCTGCCCCCCTGTAGAAAGGGAGGTGCCAGCACGGCCCCGGGAGTGGCGGGGAGGCGGGGCATGCGCCCCGGCCTTCGGCCTCTTTTCACACGTTTTCTCTGTCTCCTTCTCTCTTCCCTCCCCTCCACATCCTTCCTGTAGAGCTACTTGGTAAGTGAACCGCTGCCCCCCACCACCGGCCCCCTCTCTGCTTCCTCATCTACTCCCCCCAGTCTCCCCAGCCTCTGTCTGTCTGTCCGTCCATCCATCCGCTCCCTGTTCCCACCCTCACCCTGCTTTTAGCTTAGCTTAGCCTGCACCCCATGTCCTGAGGCGATGTCAGACTCACTGTGTGGCAGCCCAAGGGGTCCTCAGGTCCCAAGTGCCAGGGATGGGGATGGGGTGACAGAAAAGCCCCCTGCCCAGGGCTGCTGTGGGGTGAGGGTGCTCCTGGACCTTCCAGGGAATGGGCAGAGTGGGAGACCTGTGGTATGTGCTGGAGTGTGAGGATGGGGTGATGTCCCCAAGCTGGGGGAATGGCCTTGGCTTGGCAGTGGCACCGCCATCAGACTGGGGAGGGTGTCAGGGGAGCCCAGTGCTGACAGTGCCCCATCTCTCAGGGAAGGGGGACCTGCAGCCCCAGCTGGACAACGCGCTGCAGGATGTCAATGACATGTACCTGCTGCTGGAGGAGACGGAGAAGCAGGCGGTCCGCAAAGCCCTCATCGAGGAGCGGGGCCGCTTCTGCACCTTCATCACCTTCCTGCAGCCCGTGGTGGTGAGTGCTGGGGGCTGGGAGGGTCGAGGGTGGTTCCTTCTGCCCAGTGGGTGCTGATGCTCTCTCTTATCTGTCCTCAGAACGGGGAGCTCACCATGCTGGGAGAGATCACCCACCTGCAGGGCATCATCGAGGATCTGGTGGTGCTCACCGCTGAGCCACACAAGTTGCCCCCCGCCAGTGAGCAGGTCAGTAGGGGCGAGCCAGGGGTCAGGGGAGCAGGGGCCATCTTTGGGGGGACTGAGACCCCATCTTTCCTGCAGGTGATCAAGGACCTGAAGGGCTCTGACTACAGCTGGTCCTACCAGACGCCCCCATCCTCACCCAGCAGCTCCAGCTCTCGCAAGTCCAGCATGTGCAGGTATGGTGAGGTGGGCTCCACATCCAACCACAGCCAGGAAATCCAGCCCTCTTCGTTAACCTCAGTGGGTTAATGATGCTTACGGCCTTTGGGGATGCTCACAAGGTGCATGTCCACCTTCTCATGTCCGTATGGGCAGGTGGCTCCCATTATTATGGAGGAGTTGGTTTGGCACACTGGGCAGGGCTGGTGGACCTATGGGGCAGGATGGGGGCCCGACACATGCCCTGTCCTGGGGTCTGGGGATGATGTGTGCTGTGCATGGGTGTCTGGGGGCAAGCATACCACCTCTGTCATGTCCCCCAGCCTGTTCCCTGCCGCAGGGCCACCCCAGAAGGCAAAGGGACACCCCCAGGATGACTACATGCCTCAGTTTCCCCATGTTGGGATGTGTGGCAGGGCGCTGGCCATCCTGCCACCTCCGAACCTTTGTCTTAAATTCTCTTTTCCTTCCTTTGTCCTCCCCACCGGCGTGTCCCCGTCCCCCCGGCGCCCCCCCAGCAGCGTTAGCAGTGCCAAGGGTGGCATGGCGTGGCCCGGCGGGGCTCAGACCTGCTCACCCAGTTCCACCTATCGCTACCGCAGCCTGGCGCAGCCCCCCGCCGCCGCCACCCGCCTCTCCAGCGTCTCTTCCCACGACTCCGGCTTCATCTCCCAGGACGCCGCTTATTCCAAACCGCCTTCCCCCATGCCCTCGGACATCACCAGCCAGGTACAGGGAGGGTGGTCCGTGCTGCCAACCTCCATGCCTCCGTTTCCCCTTCCATAGAATGGGTGGGTGGTGATGGGTGCAACGCAACGGTCCAGTGCAGAGGTGATGAGACCCACCCTCAGAACTATTTCCATCTGTGTTGGCACGACGGGATATAAATATTGGGAATATTGAGGGTGCCTGCCATAATTGTGGGCATCCTGGGCCACACGGCAGAGAAACCCTATCAATTAATTCCTCCAGGGATGAGGCACAGATATCCCTCTCCCTGTGCCAGGAGAACAAGGTGTTTCCCAATCACCACAGCCCCATAATACCCAGTTTGTGCCCCCCTCCAGGCAGCATGAAGCAAAGCTTCCCCTTCATGCTGCACCATCCCCAGTGCCAAGGATGCTTCAGGATCCCCAGGGAGTTGCCATTCCTGTCTGTCCATGCTAACCTGGCATCACCAACCCAGCAAGGTCCCCGCTCCCCAAAATACCTCTTGACTCTGCATGGCTTGGGGTGAGAAGGGGGAAGGGTTGGGGCAGTGCATCATCCCAGTTCTTGACCCTACTGCCAAGGTCACATCCTGCTCGCCATCCTGCAGCCACAGCCAGAGGGGAGGAGGGCTGGGGGCCTCGCTCAGCCAGGGAGCTGTGGGTGCTGCTCTAACCGGGGTCATGGCTCTGGCTTTGCTTGCTAACTGCCTCTTCTCTCACCTTCCGGCTCTCGGCTCGTCACGGCACAGCAGAAGTCCTCCAGCTCGGCGTCCTCAGAGGCATCCGAAACCTGCCAGTCAGTTAGCGAGTGCAGCTCCCCCACCTCGGTTAGTCCTTGCCGTCCCACCAGGGTTCCATTTCACACGTGGTTCCCCCTCACTTCACGGGTTCAGCCCCCAGACCCTCCCCTCCCTTCCCGCATGGGGCAGAGCATCCTGAGCAGCACCCGTGGCTTGACTCGGGGGACATCAGCTTGAGACTTCCTGCCACACTCCCGGTCACAGTTGTCACCAGCATGAACCACATGCCTTGCCCGTTGCAGGACTGGTCCAAGGCCAGCCCCTATGACCAGCCGGTGGTCCCTACCCTGCAGCGGCGCAAGGACCGCGTGGAGCACCTGCGGGAAGCCGAGATGGGCTCTCCTGCTGGGGGGTACCCGGGCATCGGAGGCGAGGACGCTCCCAGGCCCCGGATGTCACCGGCTACAATTGCTGCCAAGGTACCAGCTGTGGCAGGGAGGGCACAGAGGTGAGGGCTCCTGGGGACTCCCAGAGGAGGAAGCAGGGTGCTGACAGTGCCCTTTGCCCCAGCAGCATGGGGAGGAGGTGTCCCCCGCCGCCAGCGACCTGGCCATGGTCTTGACCCGTGGGCTGAGCTTGGAGCACCAGAAGAGCAGCCGGGACTCGCTGCAGTACTCCAGTGGCTACAGCACGCAGACCACCACCCCCTCCTGCTCTGAGGACACCATCCCTTCCCAAGGTACCGGCACCGGGGATACCTGGGACCACCTGAAATGGCACTTAGAGTGGGGAAGGTCACAACAGAGGTTTTGGTGATCCTGGGGCACAGCTGTGTGCTCTGGGTGTCAGAGCATCAGGCTACAGTCATACTGTGTAGGGGCTGGTGCAACAAATAACCACAGCTTTTCCTGGTTATTTGGGTGTTAGCTGGGGCTCAGTGGGTGCAGTTGTGCCAGGAAGTGCCATGACAGGTGATGTGGTGATGTGTCTGCACAGAGGTTGAGTACAGGTGGAGATAGTGGTAGATGGTAGGTGATGGCAACAGAGTCTGTAGTTGGAGATCAAATAACCACATCTGTTATGATGTTGGCATGATGATGGCTGAGCCAGTTATGAGCATGTGGTGGTGACAGTGGAGATTGGCTGTGATTGGGATGGTTGTGATGATGGCAGTTGGGTTTGGCTGTGATTTCAGTGTGATGGCTGGGGTGACTGTGCTTTCCCTCCGGTGGTGATGTTTGTGTTTGATGGTGAGCGTGTTGTGCCAGCAATGATTGGGACAGTAGTGGTTGTATGACGATCACGGTAGTTGAATTTGGTTGTTGTTGTGCTGTGCTGGAAGTGGCTGGGGCTGGCTTAATGACATGGCTGAGCTTGGCTACCTGCTGCCCCCCAGCCACACTGATGGTGCTGCTCCCTCCCCAGGCTCCGACTACGACTGCTACTCGGTGAACGGCGACGTGGAGTGTGACCCCCAGAGTGATTTTGACAAGTCCTCCACCATCCCACGCAACAGCAACATCGCCCAGAACTACCGGCGGATGATCCAGACCAAGCGTCCCGCCTCCACCGCCGGGCTGCCCAGCGGCACCAACCTGCCGGCCGGCACCACCCCGGGGGTGGCCACCATCCGCCGCACGCCCTCCACCAAGCCCTCGGTCCGCCGCACGCTCTCCAACGCCGGCCCCATCCCCATCCGACCCCCCATCGTCCCCGTGAAGACCCCCACGGTGCCCGACTCCCCTGGCTATGCCGGCCCTACACGGGTGGGCAGCGAGGAGTGCGTCTTCTATGCTGATGATGCCTCTCCGAACCCCCTGGATTTTGCCAAAGCTTCGCCCAAGCGGCTGAGCCTTCCCAACACCGCCTGGGGTGGCGGTGCCATGGAGATCTCTGTCTACCCCGGGGCCGGCCAGCACCTCTCCGCTGAGGAAGAGGAGGACCAACAGTTGGCTGCCAACCGGCACAGTTTGGTGGAGAAGATTGGGGAGCTGGTGGCCGGCGCCCACGCCCTGGGGGAAGGCCAGTTCCCCTTCCCCACCGCCCTCGTGGGGTCCGGCCCCAGCGAGGAGACCCCCGCGCCGCCCCCCGCGGCCTCCATGGACCCCCCGGCCGAAGACATGCTGGTGGCCATCCGGCGCGGGGTGCGCCTGCGCAGGACCGTCACCAATGACAGGTCGGCCCCGCGGATATCGTGATGATGCCCCGTGCCCGCCGTGGCCCATGGACCCCGGGGACAGCCCTGCCTCCCCAGGAGCCCCCACCCGCCGGCACCCGCTGCCCTCCCCTCCTGGTGCCCCCTGCTTCCTGCCCCTCTGTCTCCTCCTGCCCTGCCCTCCCTGCATCCCTCCTTCACTTGCTCTCTCTTTGGTCCTCTTTCTCCTCTTTTTCTCCCCTTCTTTTTCCTATTTTTTCTGCTTTTTTTCCTTTGGCTTTTTTCTTCTGTTCTTGTATGTCACTTTTCCTTCTCTTTTCTTATTTTCTTCATTTTCCCATTTTTCTCCTTTTCCTCTTCTTGTCCTCTTTTTCTTTTCCTTTCTTTTTAACACTTTCTTTTCCTTTCTTTTTAACACTTTTTTCCCTTTTCTTTTTAACTCTTTTTCTTTTCATTTCTTTTTCACTCTTTTTCTCCTCCCTTCTATTTTCCTCTTTTTTTTTCCTTTCCTTTTTTTCACCTCTTTCCCTTTGTTTCTCTGTTCCCGTTCCCCTCTCGCTTTCCCTCCCTCTCCTCTCTGTTTCCTGTCCCTCGGGCGCAGGCGGGTGGCTCCAGCCGCAGGAGGAGAGGATGGTGCCAGCAGGGCTGTGGCAGCCGTGGAGCACCAGGAGCACCAGGAGTGGGGGGCCCTGGCCCCATTCCCCCCAGCTGCCTGCTTGGGGCCAGCGCAGCTCAGCCTCATTCCAGGGGGGCAGAAGAAACGGGCTGGGAGTGCAGGGGGGGAAGAAGAAGTGGGGGACATGTGAGAGGGTGGGGGGCTGGGGGTAGAGGCACTGCAATCCCCTCCGTCTTGGGGGGACACCAGGGTGCAGGGACTGAGGATGCTGAACCTCCACTTTGCCCTCCCTCACAAGGATCACTTGGGACCCCCTGCAAACCCCCTTCCCCCTGGCTCGGCACCCACAGACCCCGCTCAGAGGTGGGTCCAGGCACGGCAGGTTTGACTCAGACCCCCAGGCAAAGCAGCTTTCTGCCGGCGGCTGGAGGAAAGCACAACCCGCGGCCCTGCTGTACATAGCCCCGCTGTCTGTCGCATCGCAGCCCCTCAGCCCGCCCCCTTAGGAATAACAATTTAGTTCTCCCCCTTCCCCTTCTCCTGCCCAGAACCGCTGAGGCCAAGTGACAAATGTTTGGGGTTTGAGGGAGGGGGGGGTCTCTTATTTTGTACAGAAAACAAAAATTCTTTGGAAAAGAAAAAAAAACTGACCTGTCTTTCGACTGAAGTAACTTTTCTGGTGCTGTTGTTAACTTGGTCCTTATTCTTTTCTCTTTTTTTAATTTATTTTTCCTCCTCGTGTTCCCGCCTCTGCCGCCGCTTCCCCTCTCCCTGTCCCTCTGCCACGTTTCTTTCTCTTTCTTTCATTCCGTCTTCTCTTTTAATTTTTTTTTTTTCTGGTGGTAATTCCCCTCTTTCCCCCCCTCCCCCGTTTTCCATAGTCACTGCTACAAGTAACGAATGCACTGTGAAGATTCCAGTATTAATAAAGGTTGTACTGTAATTAATAGCCTTGCCTGTGCTCCTGTGGATTTTCTGGTTCTCTGGGATCACCCCAGTAATGGGGAACAGGTGAGAAGGTACCACCACCCCTTTGGGTTCCCATGGCTTGAGGGGGTGGGTGTTTTGGGGTATGGAGGAGTGCAACCCCATGGTCAAGCTGATGGATGACCCTGGGATGCAGAAGAACATCCTGCTGCCCGTGCCCTCCAGAAGAGGGGGTGCAGGCGGTGCCCCCCACCTCCGCCCATCCCAGCAGCGCCCGCAGCGTTCCCGCCTCCCGGATTATCGAGGCCGATTGCCAAAGCTCGCCGGGGCAGCACAACCGGCTGTGGAGAGCAGAGGGGATGGAGGGGCTCAGCGTGGGCAGTGTCCTGCTGACCGGCTGCGACGGGGGGCTGGGCCTGGGGCTGCTGAAGGGGCTGCTGGAGCAGCCCAGCCCACCCCGGCACATCTTCGCTGCTTGCCTGGACCCCCAGGGCAAGGTAGGGAGGGCACGGGCACAGGGGGGACAGGAGGGAGTCAGCGCTGGGATGGGTGCCTGGGGATGCCACAGCCCCACCTGAAATTGGGATGCTGAGTGTCAGCATCCTGAATGGTGAATGGTATGGAAAAATACATGTATATACGTAGGTGCGTGTGTAATATATGTATAAAATACATATATATATATATATACACATATAAATATATATATATATATATGTATTTTTCCACACCATTCATATACGAATAATAATATATAAAATAAATAAATATATAAATAAATATAGAATAAATCAATATATAAATATATATATAAATACACATATATGTAATAAATATTGTAAGTACCAGTGTATGTATTGAATATGTATGTATTTATTTTGCCTCTCTTGGCACAGGTGTGTGCGTGGTGGGGAGTGCAGGGGGGGTTGCTGGGAGTGCAGGGGGGTTGCTGGGCGCTCAGGGGTGTTGCTAGCAGCCCCGGTGCCGGGGGCATGGCTGCGGGGAGCTTTGGAGCCGCCGGGCTCAGCCAGGAGCGGGGCAGCAGCGACCCGCCCCAAATCGCTCCCCTGGATCTTACTGTGACCTGCCGGCTGTGACACGAGGGACCACCCTCTTCCCACCGCGCACGGGGCAGCCCCCCCATTCCGTGAGCTTCCCCACATGACCCCCTCCCCCGTTTTTCCACCTAGGCTGTTAACGAGGTGGCTTTGGGCTTTCCCAACGTCGTGATCCTCCCTCTAGGTAAGTGCTGGGGCGGGAAAGGGATGAAGCTTCTCAGGATTTAATTGCAGCCGTGGGTGGCTCCAGGAAATGTCACCAAGCAGGTGGGTCCCTTGGTTTGGCTTAGCTCAACCAGGTCACTGATGGGACCAGGAGGATGCTCAGTGGCTGGGAGTTGCCTCCTGCCACGTCCTACAGCACCTTGCCAGGATCAGGGCCACCAGCCTGTCCCCAAACCCTCCTGTCCCCTTGCAGATGTGACAGACCCCAACAGCATCAAGGCAGCCGTCAGGAGGGTGCGGGCAGAGGTGGGAAGTGCTGGCCTCAACCTCCTGATCAACAACACGGGCACCACGCGCCGCAGCACCTTGGCCACCGAGACAGCAGAGAACATGAGCCTCGTCTACACCACCAACACCATCGGGCCCCTGCAGACAAGCCAGGTGAGGACACAGGCCTCCCCTGCCCCAAACACTGGCAATAGGGAGGAGGAGGATGGTGATGCCTGAGGTCCCATCCCCTGCAGGCCTTCCTGCCCCTGCTGAAGGAGGCAGCTGAGGCCGAAGGGCAGCGTGAGATGAGCTGCCGCAGAGCTGCCATCATCAACATCTCCAGCATCCTGGGCTCCATCGAGGTTGCAGAGGCTTGGGAGGAGAGGCAGGACATCTGCTACCGCTGCAGCAAGGTACTGCCCCTGGGGGATGGGAGGAGTTGGGGGTCATCTCCTCTGGGGTTCCCCCCAGCCCTGGCGTTGCCAGATCATGATGCTAAGGAGGGGAATTTGTCCTCCCAGGCTGCTCTGAACATGCTCACCAAGTGCCTGGCCCTGGAGTACGGGAGCAGCGGGATCCTCTGCGTGTCTGTGGATCCTGGACATGTGACACCGCCCTTGGAACAGGGGATGGTGAGTGATGGGAGGTGCATGGAGTCCTAGCTCAGCAAGGTTCCACAGGCATCCATTCCTGGAGGATCCTTTCCCTGGAACATCCCTTCCTGAGGCCATCCCTTCCCAAGGCCACACCTTCCCATGAGCATCCCTTCTCAGGGTCATCCTTTCACAAAGAATTCCCTTCCCACAGACATCCCTTCCTATGGGCACATCCCTTCTTCATAGGGTATTTCTTCCCATGGACATCCCTTTCCCATGAACATCCCTTCCTGAGGCATCCTTGACCATGGACATCCCTTCCCTGGGCACCCACATCTGTGCAGTCCCTTGGTCCCACAGTGGCTGTGCCACCACAGCAAGGGGACAATTCCAGGCGCTCCCCCCAGACCATCCAATTTCTCCCTATTTTTATTTCCTTTCCCATCCTGATGGTGTGTCAGCAGAGGGCACCCCGGTCCTGCACTCAGCTGTCCCTTACCCTGCTCTGGCTGTCCCTTACCCTGCTCTGGCTGACATCCCTCTTTTAATTAGGGATGAAGAAATTAACCTCCATCCTTACAGCACTCAAATGAGGGACAATCAATTTGTGCAAAGCCACATTCCTTGGCTGCTGGAGCATCTCCAACTGCTCCCAAACCAACCCAGCCAGAGCTGGCACTCCACCATACCCTGGGTGGGATTGGGGGTGTTGGGATGGAGAATCTTGGCTCACTTTTTCCCTTGCCCTTGGGTGTGACAGGGCCCGGTGACGCTGGAGGAGAGCGTGCGGGGCGTCCTGCAGCTGCTGGCCCAGCTCTCAGCCACCAGCAATGGCACCTTCTGGGACTGGAGAGGGCAGAGGCTGCCCTGGTGAGAGCAGCATCTGCCCACTGAACTTAAATAATTAATTAAAGTGAATTAATTGCCATTTCCAGGCTCACTCTGATTTCGGGGGGGGGGGGTAGGATGGGCAGAGGAATAAAAACAGGGATGCACAGGTTGGGGGATGAGAGTTGGATTTGCTGCCCTCCTGGCCTGGGATGGTGATTTGTGCCAGGGCAGCATAAGGAAGGATGCTCCAAGTGTGTTCCTGAATCCAAGGCATCCCCTGGGGCCAGGAGAATGCCCTGGCTATCGTCACTCCAGGGCCATAAGCCATACTGCTCATGGGGACATCCCAGACAGCCCCAAACTCAGCCCTTCTCCTGCTGGGCCTGCCCACCCCAAAACCAGCTGGCCTTTCCATGCCCACCCCAAAGACGCTGCCAGGCATTTTTCTTGCTGGTTCAAGGCCAGCAAAGGTTCTTCCTGTTCCAGCAGCTGGGGGCTTTCATAGCAGGAGATGTCCCAAGTCTCAGCACATGCCTAAAGATGAGTTTTGAGACCTGGGCAGGGCATCCTGGGCTGACCTTCCTCCATGGTACACCAGGAGATAATGTAAACAAGCTCCCATTCTTGATCCTGTGAGTGCTTTCCTGTAGAGGCTCTCAGCTGTCATTTTTGAAGCCATCTCTCAAAAGAAGGATCAGAAGAAAATGCACAATATCTCAAGTGGGCTTGACATGCAGCCCATTGCTGTGGGGATGCTCTGGGAAGCTTGGTAGGGGTCATTTTGCAGGGACAGCTTCAGTTTCCCCACAGTGGAGGAGGATGAAGGATCATTCCCACCTTTGACACGAGGGAGTGGGAGGCTGGGCTCAGCTCCAAGGGCTGAGGCAGCCCAGGTGGGTCCCTGGACCACACAGGGACTCAGTTAAAGCCAGCAGGGATGGGAGAGAGGGTCCCTTTAGTTAAAGCTCTTATCAAGCAGTGGATCTCTTGGTGGGTTTTATATGAGCTCTGCGTGGGCTTTATATAAACAGGAATCACCACAAAGCATGAAGGGAGGAAAAGGGGGAGGCGGAGAAGGGAGACGCCTCCACTCATGCTGCAGTGCCCATTGACTCATGAGCCTAAGCCATGAATACAGCAATTAAGGTCTCTAATAGCTGATGAGGGTAATTAACTGAGCTGTAAAGGGGGGAGGCAGCCAGGCAGCCCCAGTGCCTCCAGTGTGCAGCCTGCACCACGCCACCAAGCACAACAAACCAATCCAGATGTTTCCTTGCTGGGGAAGCAGCCGGGGCTGATGGAGGCAGCTTGGCAGGGGTCCCTTTATCAGAGTGAGTGTCTCCCCCACAGCGGTGAGGGAGGTGGCTGACACCCCAAAAGAGGAGGCAGTGGAGGCAGTGGGGTTCTCTTTGCTGGTCCTTTATTTCGGGTAAGGCTGGAGGATCCCAGGACCCAGTCAGAAGCTGAGCTGCAATGCTACAGAATTAACTGGTGTTTAATCAAAGCTGAGGAAAAAATACAAATGGAGAGAAACGGGGTGATGCCCTCACCTGCCTGTGCGCAGGGAGGGCTGTGTGTCCCCCCAACAGCTGCCTGCCATGGGGCTGTGTCTGAGCCCACACCCATGCAAAGGGTGGCAGACATTTCGGATGGACAAGATCCCACAGCCATAAACAGTCCCACAGTTCTGGAAAGGGTTGTGTTTGGTCCTGGAAGGAGTGGCATTTGTCCCACCTTTGCAGCTTCCTTGGGAACCCACCACGGGGCTCTGGGAGGAGCAGAACAGAGGCAGCATCCAAGGCTCCAGGGCAAGCAGGTGTCCACTGAGGGGTTGAGTGAAGGATCTTCCACACTGTTAGGTGGACTCCCACCCACCTGAACAGAGGGAACAGGTTTCATGGTGTGGGACAGGGTGCCCCTGTGTGGCACCTGCGTTGCCCGAGGTCGGGCCCCCCACCCTGACCCCCAACTCACAGGGCACCCCGTAGAGCATCCGCATGACCTTGAGGCAGTTGTCCAGCAGTGCCTTGGGGCGCACAGCCTTGCTCCGGCTCTCAGCGCCCGCGCTGTGGATCAGCTTCACCAGATCGGCCACCACGGTTTCCACGTCTGTCTGCAGTGACAGATCACCAGGTCACCAAGGTCCCCCAAGGGACAGAGAGGTGCAAAAGATGCAGCTGTTGCATTGGCCGGGAATCGAACCCGGGCCTCCCGCGTGGCAGGCGAGAATTCTACCACTGAACCACCAATGCCAGATGTGTACAACCTCCCGGCCCTCCCCCCCCACACTCCCAAACCCTGCGGGATGCGAGCAGCGCCCACAGGCCCTGGCAGCTCTCAACGCTCCCACAAATCACCCCAGCACAGCTCTGACAGCGCACCTCCAGACCATGGAACACCCCTCTGCTGCCTCGCATCGCCTACAGCAAGGAGGACCTCTCAGCAGCCCTCAGAGTTAATAACCCAGCAAAGCTCCCTCTCTCCACAGAGGGGCTGCAGAACCTGTCCCGTGCCACAGGACAACCCAGCCACACTTGGGGCTCACATCGGTCACCCAGCTGTAGCAGGCCACCCACATCCAGCACACAAACACTGTCCCCTCTTGGATGGGGCAGCATCCCCCAGACCTGTGCAGGCCTGATTGCCCTGGGCCTCACTGCCACCGAGCCAAAGACCCTTGTCACTGCCACCAAAGCAGAAACCCTCACTGTCAGTGAGCCATGGACTGTCACTGCCCATGAGGCAGGGTCTCTCTCTGCCACCAAGTCCCCCGGGGATCACCAATGTGCCCTGGCTTTGTTCCACCGACAATGACACTCCTCACAGCCATACAGAGGGAAAGATGTGCCAGAGAGGTGGGTGATCCCTCCAGGCACCCAGGGGAATCCCCATGGTCCCCCCAGAGACACTGGGCGCCAAAAAATACAGCTGTTGCATTGGCCGGGAATCGAACCCGGGCCTCCCGCGTGGCAGGCGAGAATTCTACCACTGAACCACCAATGCCAGATGTGCTCAGTATCTGAACCCTTCCCACACGGCCCCAGCATCCCAAATCCAGCAGAGTGAATGCAACGCGGACAGGCACTGCTGGCTGTGAGCACAACACACACAGACACTCACAAGGGGCACCCCAACCCCCAGCTCTGATACGGCGGCTCCAGACCATGGAAGAGCCTCTTCTGCTGCCTCACCAGCAAGGAGGACATGTCAGCAGCCCTCAGAGTTAGCCCTCTCATGAGACAGCCCAGCAAAGCTCCCTCTCTCCACAGAGGGGTTGCAGAACCGTCCGGGGCACAGGACAACCCAGCCACACTTGGGCTTCACATTGGTCACCCAGCTGTAACAGGCCACCCACATCCAGCACACAAAAACCTCTGCCTTGGGGTGCAGCAGCATCTCCCAGCCACAAGTAACCCATGGCTGCATGGAGCCCAAGTCAGGTGGAGAGGCTGGGGGCTGCAGAGTTGAAAGTCAGGAAGGACACGGGGCTGCACTGACGAGGAACCAAACCCTGGCTTTTGAGGCAGAGCACAATAGTCATCCCACTGAACCACACATGCCAGATGTGGAACTGCCCACAGGTGCCATCTGCCTCCATGGCCTGGGCACCCTTGACATGAACCAGCACCTCCCACTGCTCCTAAGCCAGGGACCTTCACTGACATCTACATAGCACCCCTTGCTGTCATTGAGCCGGTGTCCCTCCCTGCCACCCAGCCGAGCTGGGTCATTCACCAAACCATCTCCTCTTACTGCTCCCCAGTGCCACCAGGCCAATACTCACCGCAGGCAGAGCTGCTGCTGCCACCCCGGGGCCTGAGCACCCACAAAAACTACACAGTCGACCCCGCGGGGAGATGCAGAGGAAGCACTTCTACAGAGATGCCCAAGGGAGGACCCTTGGGAGCACCCCTGCACTATCCCATGGGCACCTGGCAGCCGCCCCCAAGGGACAGAGAGGTGCAAAAGATGCAGCTGTTGCATTGGCCGGGAATCGAACCCGGGCCTCCCGCGTGGCAGGCGAGAATTCTACCACTGAACCACCAATGCCAGATGTGCACAATCTCCCGGCCCTCCCCCCCCACACTCCCAAACCCTGCGGGATGCGAGCAGCGCCCACAGGCCCTGGCAGCTCTCAACGCTCCCACAAATCACCCCAGCACAGCTCTGACAGCGCACCTCCAGACCATGGAACACCCCTCTGCTGCCTCACATCGCCTACAGCAAGGAGGGCCTCTCAGCAGCCCTCGGAGTTAACCCTCTCATGAGACAGCCCAGCAAAGCTCCCTCTCTCCACAGAGGGGCTGCAGAACCTGTCCCGTGCCACAGGACAACCCAGCCACACTTGGGGCTCACATCGGTCACCCAGCTGTAGCAGGCCACCCACATCCAGCACACAAACGCAGCTGTCTCAGGATGCAGAAGCTCCATCGAGGCAGCAGAATCTTAGGCAGAGAGGCAGAACCATCAGCGGGAAAACAGAGATGAATTCACAGGCACATTCTGCCTGATCTCATGCAACCGCCGGCCCTAGTAGTGCCACCCCGTGAGGGAGGTCGGTGTGTGTGACAGTCCCATTCTCCCCTCCCCGGGTGAGCAGGTGCCCCGAGGGGGACGGGTTGCAGGCAAGAAAAACATACAGCTGTTGCATTGGCCGGGAATCGAACCCGGGCCTCCCGCGTGGCAGGCGAGAATTCTACCACTGAACCACCAATGCCAGATGTGCAGTACACCTGAGGCACTGCCCCAGCACCCCGCTCCCAACTTCTGTCCTTGCATCCTGTCCCTGTCAGACTTTCCAGGGAATCCCCTCGCAGGGAAAACGTCCATGCCCGTGTTGTCCCCTCCCGGTGCTCGTGGCCCAGTGCGTGCCCCCCAGCACAGGAGTGCGAGACGTGCGGCTGGGCTGGGGTGCCGGGGGGATCCTCACCTGCCGGTACTTGCTGTACTCCTCACCCAGGGCATCAAAGAGCTGGCAGAGCTCCTGGGTGTACTTCCAGGATGGGTGCTTCTCTGGCAGCACCTCACGGATCCGCAGCACGGCCTGGGAGCTGACATGGAACCAGAGGTACCGCAGTGCTGCCTCCGACACGGTCCCGTTGCGCTGAAGGGCAAGAGGGTGAGAGCCGGGCAGCCCCCGTGGGTCCCTGGAGTGCTCCCATCACGAGACTCTCCCCTGCCACCCTCTTACCAGGCGGGTGATGTTGGAAGGCCTCAGCACCTCTTCATACTGGACCTGGACTGTGTAGTCGATGGGAAAGTAATGTTTCTGGAAAGGCAAGGAAGAGCATGGGGGCTGGCAAGGGGCAAAGCAATGGGCACATCCTTGCCAGCCTCAGCAAGACACCAGGGAGCCGGTGCAAAAGCCCTTTGACATGGTCAGCCCCCAGCAGAAGTAGCCCTGGGCACAATTTGGTATAAATTGTCCCTGGTAAAAAACACAGCACTCAGCACCTGGCCACTGTAGAGCAGTGGGTGCTGCCCCCCACCCATGACCCCCTGGAGCAAACTGGGGCCCTGCAGTGCCACATGTCCCCCCCACCTCCCAAAGCTGGGGTTACCATGTACTGCAGGCGCATCTCATACTGCAGCTTGTCCTGGAGAAGGCGGGTGAGCTCGCATTCGCCCGGCGCCGCGGCCTCCAGCCCCAGCACGGCCAGGACACCTGGGCAGCCAAAGCCAGTGGCATCAGCCCCCTCAGGGACACCCACTGAGGTGACTCCTGAGGCCAACCCCCGTCCCCCAGCAATACTCACATAGGACGGCAGCGTAGCCCTGCTGCATGTTGATGGTGGCCGTCAGTGAAGCCCCAGGCTGTGCCTACATGGCTGGGGCTCACCGGGAGCCTCCAGGGCAGTGGCGTGGATGGTGTGGGGACAAGGGACAGGTGTAGGCTCCGGGCACTGGCTGCTCTCCGGTAGCCCCGGGCAGTTGTTCCCTGCCATGGATGGGGGGTTAGTCCCCCTTCCCGGCAGTCCCCACTGGCTTCTCCTCTCCAGCTGGTGTCAGGGAGGCAGCAGGTCCCAGGGCCGTCACAGGGTGTTGGCAGGGATGTGTTTGCAGGGGTGCAGGAGCACCCCCGGACTGCAAGAGGGAATCTGGGGGAAGAGAGCCCTGGCTGCAGCCCTAGGGTAGGCAGGCGCCCAGGCTGCAGCCCCCAGGCAGGACATCTGCTCCGAGCCCCGGGGACCACGGGGAGGGGACAGCCCCGCGTGAGCCTCGGGTGGCCAAAATACTGTGGGTGGCCGTGGAGCCGTGTATGCCTATATCCCGCTTGGTGCAGGGCTACCAGGGCTTCCCTGATGACACCCTCCGGGGATTTCCAGGGAAGGAGCGGGGATCTACCCAGCCCCGTTATCCCAGCGGTGACTAAGTCCAGCCTCAGCCGAGGAACGCTGGGGGACGGGGCTGGTGAAATGGCCAAGCCACCGCATGCTGGGTCCCCACACAGAGGTGTCTGTCCCTACACCCCTGTGAAGGGTGCCATGCCCCCGCGCTGTGGAAGAAGACCACAGCATGTCCTGGTGCCACATGTTCCACAGCGCGTCCCCTTACGAAGGAGGGTGTGTTGTATCCATGCCACATCCCAGCACAGAAGTGGCCCCATCTGCGCCCCCACACCATGTCCCGGTGCCAGGGGAGCCATGCTGTGTCCCCACGCGATGCCATGTCCCAAGGGAAAGCGGCCGTGCCGTGTACCGTGCCGTGCCCCCGCGCAAAGGCGCCGTGCGCTGTCCCAGCTCGAAGGGGTGCCACCCACAATTCCCGGTGAAGGGACCTCTGCGCCGTGTCCCTGCGCCGTGTCCCCAGGCAAACACGGCCGGGTCGCGGGGTGTGCGTGTCCCGTGCCGCGTCCCCACGCGGGGCCGTGGGTGCCCGGCCGCCCCCCGCGCCCCCCGCCGAGGCTCCCGCGTGGCAGGCGAGAATTCTACCACTGAACCACCAATGCCAGATGTGCAGTACACCTGAGGCACTGCCCCAGCACCCCGCTCCCAACTTCTGTCCTTGCATCCTGTCCCTGTCAGACTTTCCAGGGAATCCCCTCGCAGGGAAAACGTCCATGCCCGTGTTGTCCCCTCCCGGTGCTCGTGGCCCAGTGCGTGCCCCCCAGCACAGGAGTGCGAGACGTGCGGCTGGGCTGGGGTGCCGGGGGGATCCTCACCTGCCGGTACTTGCTGTACTCCTCACCCAGGGCATCAAAGAGCTGGGGCGGGGCGGCGGCCGGGGGCCGGGCGGGGAGTGGGGACCGAGCGACCGCCCCGCACGGCCCGGGGAGAGTCCGGCCCCGCTCCGCCGCGGGTGCTCGGCTACCCCAGGCAGGTGGGTGTCCCCGGGGTAGGGAGCGAGAGCGGGAGGTGTCCCCAGGCTACAGCCCAGGCTGGGGTGTCCCCAGGGTGCTTGGCTGACCCTCGAGAGTATCTCCGTGTTCCAGGCAGGTGTCCCCGGAGGTGCTCATCTAGCCCAAGCTGGGCGTCCTGGGATGCTCAGCTGCTCAGTTCACCTGGCCTAGGTACCCCCTGGTGCGCTCAGCTCATCCAGCTGCGCATCCCCAGGGTGTTTGGCTCATGCTGCCGGGTCCCTCCCTGCTCCTCAGGGTACTTTGCTGCACCAGACCCTGCGTGCTGGTCTAGCTATGGTGCAGGCCTCCTCCACTCCTCAGGGTGCTGAGCTGTCCACCCAACCCAGTCAAGTGCCCACATAGCCCCTGGGGTGCCCAGCTGACTACTCTGCACAGCCCTAGGCTCTTCAGGGTGCTCTGTTCTGCCAGCACTGGCACCTCTAGGATGCTGGGCTTTCCTGGCTGGGTGTCCCAGGGCACTTTCTGGGCTGAGCACTCATGGGCACGTTTGGGACAATCAAAGTGGGAGTCAGCCAATGCCTTCCCAGCATGCGCCCGGGGAAGGGCTGCACTGCAGCACTAATCCCAGAGGGGCTGAGGTATTCTAAGCTGCCTCCAGGCCAGCAGGACTCTGCTCCCTCTGACCCAACCCCACGTCATCTTCTCAGGATGCTTCAGGGCTGAGCTCCTGCCAGGAGCAGGGGCCAAGGGACATGGGACATTGTCCTCCCCCACATCATCCTGAAGAGCCCCTTGGAAGAGCCACTGTGTCTGTGCTCAGGGCTGCTGAGCATCCAAAGGGTCAGCAAGAAACATCGGCTATCAAAGAGTGGGTCAGTGCTCCCAGGGAAACGCGTGGGAAGGAATGCACTTCTGCCTGTGAGAGCGCACTGGGATTCCCCTGGCACGGAGTCAGGGCCACTGCCGTGCTCCTGCCAAGCTTCCCCTGCTCCTGGCCAGTCTCAGGCACGGCGCTTGCCTCCCTCCCAGCACTCGTCGGGGGCGAGATGCTCAGCTCTAAGCAGGGAAGGAGCCGCTCCAGCTCCTCACTCAGGTGTCCGCAGGGATTTTGCCCGCAGCTGCTGCAGTCGCTGGAGGAAGCCATTTAATAGCATTCCCTGCCCACGTATTCATCAGCCTGGCAGCCGGGAAGGGGCGAGGAAGAGAAGATAAAGTGCGGAACTGCGCAGCACCGTGCTGGGGGCGGTTTGCTCTCCCTGGCTGCTCCGGGGCTGGAAATCAGTGCTGGGATGAGTCCAAGGCAAACAGCTTCCCGTGAACGGCCCCGGGAGCTCTGCACCCACACGGCAGCAGGACTCCGAGCCCCTGCGGCTGCAGGAGGCAGCTCACTCCAAGAGAAACCTTCCTTGTCCCAGTGAAGAGGAGCTGGGGGCTCAGGCAGCTCCCCACAAGCCCCCAGCTCCTGATGGCTAGGAATGGGTCCCCCCAAGACTTTGCCTTTTACTGGAGGCAGGTTATTCACCAGGTACAGCCAAGCAAGTAAAACCTTGTGCTTGGAACCAGTTTGGGAACATCTCAAGACATGCCTCCCCTCCCCAGCTTTCACTTTCAGGACACCAGCATAACAAATACCAAGGGCCACTGGAGCTCTGCTGGAAGTGCCCTCTGACCAAAGCATCGCTCCCTCAGGGAGGACAGGGAGCACAGGGTGAGCACTTTATAGCAAGCCAGAAGCTGGAGCCTACAAAGCTCAGCCCCCCTTCACCCCTTCCTTGACACAGCTGCCCCCACTCAGGCCGGGGAAGGGAGCACAAAGTCCTTTGCTCTGCCAGCAGAGGATGGGTGGGGCTGTCAGAGCCAAAGGGTGCAGCCCAGCCTTGTAAGCCCCTGCCAACGCAGGCCTGCGAGGCTGAAACAAGGCAGGAGGGGAGAGGAGGGTGCAAAGGACAGGGCAGGAGGGTGTGTTTGCCCTCACCCCACACACTACATGCACCAGAGAATGTGAAAGCTGTTCAAAGGGAACACAGGCATCAAGGACCACCTGTCTCTCTAAGCCTCAGGTGGGGAGCAGCATCCTTACTGGGATGTCACAGGCTATCAGTCCCCACCAGCAGGGAGTAAGCAGGGAGTAATCCAGCAGAACCAGGAAGCACTTGCTGTGTGGGTACACTCCACCTGGGAGCCTCTGCAGCCAGCTACCAAGCCTCTGGGACAAGGACCTTTCCCCAACCCTCCTGGCAGTCAGCTGCTCCTCCCAGAGCTGCAGCTGCTACACTGGGCAACACAGGACCCCCAGTGTGCAGCCATGCTCTGGAACGGCTGCAAAAATGACTCTTCCCTCTCTCCACAGCCTGCTCTGTGTGTGTCCTAGGGCAGACCAAACAGTAGGACATCAGCTCCAGGCAGGGCAGGGGGGCAGTGAGGGGCCTGCAGGAGCACAGGGGCTCAGGGTGTGCACATTTCTGTATTCCTCCTCCGCCCCTCCTGCTCCCGCCAGGTCAGCAGCAGCTGCCACGAAGGAGAAGAGCCCCAGAGCCAGGGTAGTGAAAAAACAGGCTTTTATTCTTCATGTGCTGCTCACAGTCACAGCTTGGAGACACTCTCTTGCCAAAGTTATTATGAAACAAATCAAGTCCCAGACTCAGGCCTCGCTCTTCCCCACCCCCAAGAGAGTCAACATTGTACAAAACTCTATTTACAGGGAAAACAGTCAGAAATGGTGAGTCCAAAAAACCCCCTTGCAATTCAGAAGAAAACGTTCAAGACAAGTGTGACAGTTACACCCTCCACAGCCAGCTTCCCATTGGCTGCTCCCTGGACTAGTATAAGCCCAGAGCAGCCCACCACTGGCTACTAAAAGAGGAGCCTGGTAATCCTGAATCATGCCACAGCTCTTTCCTTTCCTAAAACGCGGGGATATCACAAACCCCACTTGACCCAACAAAGACTCAGCTGGATCTGCCCTACAGAACTTTCAGCAAGATACCCTGGGACTCCCTCATCTGAAAGGGAGGACAAGGACATGGAGCTGAGGGTCAGCTGGAGGCCCCGCTTGGGCACTTCCCAAGAGAGAACTGCTGTGGCCAGAAGCCGGAATGTCAGGAGCCTTCACATAGGCAGCAGGATGTGTTGGGAAACCTAATAGCTGATACTGTATTTACTGGACTCACATTACTTTGAAACACAAACCAAGAGGACCAAACCAATATTTGAAAAGGGGGGAAAAAAAGCACACACTCCTCCTCCTGATGGTGCCTGGAAGAGCACCCAGAGGAGCCGCGAGGTTTCTGCCCCTGGCAGCTGCCTCTCAGAAAGCGTAGCGCGTGCGGATGTCCTCCAGCTTCTTGGACACCTCGGGTGGGGTCCGGTCCAGCTCCTCAGCCACATTCTTCTGTTTGTTAGGCTCCATGGAGTTGAACTGCTCACACAGGTCCCCATCAATCACGTTCTGGAGGGGCAAGGAGGAGAGAACTAAATCGAAACCACACAGAGGCACTGAACCCTGCCTAAACAGGGAAAAATGGCCACAAACAGTTTGTTCCCAGGAGTTTCTTAATCCTGTCCTGGAAACAAGACCATGCTCGGTGACCTCATCCGCTGAATAGCAGCAGTTAGCATCACATTAATTACTGGCCAGCTTGATTAACGAAACAGAAACCCAAAAGGCCTGTGTGCAGCTGAAGAATCACACAAGGGAAAGGAAGAGAGATCTGCCTGGGTCTGAGCCCTGCACTGGGAAGGCTGGGGAGGCTGTGAGTGGTGACAAAGGCAGCTTCAATCAAATGGGAGCAATCTTTGAGGCTGTGTATGTGGCAAATCAGCTTCAAGTTCATCGAGACCACCACCACCCTCCACTCCTAGAGAGCTTCATCTGCTGGGACAGTGCTCTGACTCCAGACTCATTACTACGGTAGTACCACTGGGGTCCGTCTGCATTTAGCAGTTCACAGCTTCTAACAGTTCCTCAAAAGCAGAAATAGGCAGTAACAGCTATTTCTGCACTTGGATTTTCCTTTCCAGTGGTGGTGGAAAAAACAACCCAGGGCAGCACTCAATTTGATCCAGCCACACCAACAGCTATGTAATTCTGCTTCGCCAGGTGCAAAATGGAGATGCTGTGGGAACTAGAGAAGTGCAGCTACAGCACCTCTAGGCTTGGGTCTTAGGATCAACCCTCAGGAGGCTCATTACAAGAGTTAAGAAATCAAAACACATATGTATTAAGTGCTAAGTACTGTTCTCCTAACACTGCTGCTCAAGAGCCAGCTACCACAGGCACTACACCTCAGTTTTCCTTACGAAACAGCAA